AGAACTGCTGCTACTCCCAGTAAGTAAGAGTGAAACCTCACTACTTCTCTACTACTCAGTGAAGCAGTGATAAAACTTTTGATGTGATATCTGATGCATGTCCAGCTAACACACTTGTAGTTGCACATCTATATATAGCAGCCCATTAGCAGTTTAACACTATTCCAAATTATTATGAGTCTCAATGAAGCTGTTTATTTTTAGTCTATGACTGAATAATTGGTATAGCAGTCAAAGGAACCAGTTTAGGCTTGCTGAAAGCCTGGCCCAAAATTTCTTAGTCTTAGCTCTTCTGGTAAGAAATCTATTCTCAGTAATAAGCAGACTGAAAAAAACACCCCCTATATCACACAGTGGCTATATTTAATCAGAAGCACAAATAAGGTAACTTCTCAGCCAAATGTGCATTATTAATGACAGATACAAAGACAAGGTTATCACCAAATATTTTTAAATACTCCAGTCTCCTAATAAGGACCCAGCATATTTTCTTCCTGCCAATTTTTGTGCAGAGGTAAGTGGGCAATTATTGGCAACCCATGCCAGTATTAATTTAAAAACTGTCTGGTTTCTGCAATGCAAAGCCTCACCAAACAGTACCAGATCTTTGGAAAACAGGGTAGTAAAAGCATAGCAAGAGGATGAAAAAACTCTCTTCACAAGAATGTGCAGGAGTAACTGTTTACCTCAGTAGCTCTATGTTGCTGGGAGCAGACAAACCCAGAGACCACCTTTTTAAAGGGATTTGTAGCTTGCCTTTCTTTGAATAAATGTAATTCACACCTTATCTGTCCATCTGTAGGATAATGCCCAAAGCTGATCTGTGCTTGATGTGCAAATGCTAGGTCTATCATTTGCATGCACAAGTGATATGCAGGGACCCATTTGCACTTACATATGTAGAAGATGACATTTGAAAAACTGGCTCCTAGAATCATTCCTTCTGTGAATGTTATGCAGCCATCTGTACAAAAGTAGCAACCAAATACTTTGCCATCAGCAGAGTGTTAGCCTTTCAGATATGACTGGTTGAGAGGGGGTTTTGTCCAAACTTCATTTCAACAGAAAACTGTTTATTTGACTGATACAATTTTTCAAATGATGTTAAATACGGTGTTGGTTTTCAGCTCACTCCTTCCTTTTGTCACCATTGCCAAATATGATTGATCTGATAGATGCTGAGCATGTTCATTCCCTGGGACTTCAGTTTTCTCTGTGCTACTATGATCAGGGATTCTTGTGACACATCCTATCAGCTCAGCAAAAGTGTGATCTCGAGGTACCATGGCTTATGAAAAGAAACATTACCTCAGATAACACCACAGCATTTTGGGGGGAGAAAAATCAAGGTTCTTTTTCTTACCCCACTTCTGAAAGCATTAAAAAAATTCATCAAGGAAAGAATTTTCTCCTCAGCCCATTCCAGTGAACCTGAAAATTCAAATTTCCCACCTACTGTTGCACCATTTTTCCAGGTGGGAACTGTTCCAGGACAAAGGCCTTTTTCAGAGAAAATTATTGTGACAAATTTTCATAAAGATTTCTTTGCATTAAGATCAATGTAAACTAGTGTCTCAAACCAGGTACAAACTGGTCAGAGCTCTGTTTTCAATGAAGTATGTTGCCACTTGATCAATGGAGTGGATGGACAAATTACGCACTGAGAGAAGCATGAAGGGCAGGACCTTGGATGATGAGAACCACATATGGAATCCCCAGGCAGTGCACTATGCAAAATGCTCAGCATGCTAAATCTACCAGGGGCTACACTGTTGACACTCTGCAGTATACCCAGTTACAGATATTAAATACGCATGCTGGATGTTAGATTACATCTGACTCAAATAACCTAAACACAGGTGATGGCCAATAGGAGAACCCATCAAAGAGTCATGAAAACAAGAGTGTGGCATTTTTCCAAAATCTGCTGAAATAGCACACATGCCAGGACAGGTGTTCTCTGCCTCCGCACACTGTGCCAGAGGAGTTAATTAGAAAAGTGGAAAAGTGACTTCTGCTTGTCATATTAATCTGTGTAAATACTCATTCCATGTTACCCTTCCTCAATATTTTACATGAGACCGAAATCATGTGTGCACACATACACACAAATCAGACACACGGATGGTTTTTTTTCCATGAAGCATAATCAGTTTTATACTCTTTCATTCTTCTTTTGGGAGAAAGAAAAAAAAAAAAAGAAAAAAAAAAGCCCTTCATACTTTATCTACATTATCTACCTACTTAGGACAAATTTTGCTCTCAGTTATATAAATACTGGTATCTGTTGAACCAAACAGAAATTTATCCATGAATTGGAAAAAGAAATTGCTCTTTCTAAGGAAATGTTCCTTTAAGCCAACATCTTTTAGAAAGAAATGTTGCATTAGACTTTACCTGCAAAACCTCAAGGTGCCCAACAATGTCTGTACTCTTTTTAGGAGGAGATGTTTAAAATTCGTTATTTTTTTCTCCCTCCTTTCCTTCACATCTTGCCTTGCTCTAAGCAATCTTATCCCATTTTGGTAATGCTTTATTCTTCCATCCTACTTACACAGTGTTTTATACACACTTTCTGATATGGTGAATTGTTACACAGGATGCAAGACAATGACAAATCAGAAGCCAGTGGGCTTGGGATTTTCTTTTGTATATGTTTGAAAAATGCATTTAGGTGTCCTCAACTAGCAGTTGAAACCAGTCAGCAGTGCTTTAGTTTTGCTAACAGAAACCTTTCTAAGTCAGGTTTTAGTGAAAAAAGACATCAGGTAGGTGACAGCTTTTATGAAGTATATGTTTAAAATCATTCCTCCCTCTCCAAGCTGACATCCATTTCCATAGAAACAGAGGTGGAAATGGACCATTAACACCCATGAGTCAATTTAAGCTACTAGCAGTCAATTTTGATCACTGAAAAAAAGAGCTTGAATTAGTGAAAATGGGAGTTTTAAAATGACCCTTAAAAAAATCTTTAATGTCTTTTTCTGCGCTTGCTAGGCTGGGTCTCTGTGGAACACAGTCACAAAGCCACTCCGAGCCGGCACGGAAGAAGAGGAGGAGGATGAGAACTCCAGATCCCATGCCATAGCTGGAAGTAAGAAGCAAAACAAAGGGCAGATTAAACTTTGGGGTTCTAAAGCCCCGAAATTAAAATGCTAATTTGAAATTGCATAGACTTGTTTTTTAAACAGTAAGTTTTTAATATCTTTGTTTGAAAACCAAACTCTCAAGTCCATTTAAGAACTGCAACTACACTCTTCAGGGATTCACTTTCCTTGGAAATGTACAATTACAGGAGAGAAGCAGCAATCTAGGTCACGGGGACATTTAGTTACTAATCATATATACTTTGATATGTTGTTTTACCAGTGCAGTCTATCCCCAAAGACATGAAAGAATGAATTCCAAAGTATCTTTTCTATGTAATTGCAGAATGCTGAGCTGTAAGAACACCAGACTTGAGGTCTCTTGAGATTATGGTTTAGCAGCATGGTACAGATACCGAACCTCACATTTCTTTTATTGTGGTGAAGCTCCATTGCCATTAATGACATTACTCCTGCTTTCTAAGCATGAGAAGCTTCCTTTGTGGGAAATCAGGGCAATCAAAACCAGTTTTGCAGTGGCTGCCTTCAAGCCTAACTGTGCATGTGTTGTGTTCTATTTGCACATTACATCAACCACAATATTTGACTGCCATTTTTGCTCTTGTGTCTTTGTATGCAGTTAAAAGTCTACATGTTCTTTCCGGAGTTCATACCCACTGCACAAGATTTTAAAAGCATCAACTAGGCGTTTGTGCTGCAAAATCCTACTTCAACTTGAAAACAGAGAAGCAAAATTTCTGCACAGCAGTTTGGATGCCTAGGGCTTAGTAGCTTCTCCTCTTTTTGGATGAGTTTCACTCCCCCCGCAGATGGTTAAAGGATGAAAATTACATGCTTAGTATTTTTTTTTCTTTCAGGAATTCTGCCTGATTTCTACAGTGCATTGATATAAAGGTCAAATTCCATCAGCTTCTGCCAGAGAATTCTCTGAATTTTGTTCTTTTTTCCAGGACACACAATGAAGCAGTACACTTGCCTTAAAAATGTTTCAACTTTGAGGGATTTGTTAATTTCTTTTCTTCCAAAAAGAAGCGCTACCTTTGTAAAGTATTTGTTAATTTCTGTATTTAGCTCCAATATTTCAGTATTTGGTCTTCAGCATTGCGTTGAGTCCTTTTTTTCAGCCTCCAAAGCTCTCAGAAGCAAAAAAGAACATCATGTTCCTGCGGACTGCCCAGGACACATGCTTCACAGCTGTGCCAAGTTTGCAGCTGACCAATTGGCCTACGTTGCAAGAAGACTCATTTTCAAAATTTACAATCGTTTTTTTTAATGTGTGCCAGATAGGCCGATTCACTGTGAGACTTCTTTGATTTTATTGACGTTTAGAGCCTCATCCAGTTCCCAGTGAAGTCAATGGGTGTCTTTCCAGGCCTTATAGCAGGACTTGGATGAATCTCTAAGTGGGCAGAACTGTTTCCCGTCACCTATTTTGCCCACTGAGACATTAAAAAAAATCACCGACACCCATTCTGTAATGTTGTATAATCACATTTACCCTGGAATGTAAAGGAATTGCATGATCTTCAAAGGTAGCTACCAAATTAAATGCGGCAACTGACAAACTACCAAATTCCACAACATTAAGCCTCTTATGAAAATGGTAATACTAATGGAATTATTTTGTTTGATTTGTTCCAGAAATAATGTGTGCCTTAGAGTCCTAAGTCCTGTTCCCTGAACATGGTGGCTTGTCTGGGTGAAGGGAGTACACAAACAAGCAAGTGCTAGGCATCTAATCTAAAATACTATGATGTGATTTCACTAGCAAAATTTTTGTAACAGGGGAAGCAGGCATAATTCAACCATAAAATGTTTTTATTAGAGTTTAATGTCTGAAACTATTTCAGACTGAACATTTCAGTTTACAGTGCACATAAACAGACTCCTGAAAATCAGCATTTGCAAAGATGAAATCATAAGCTGGAGGATTCCAAACCCAGATGACATTTCAGTCTGTAGCCAACAACAGCATCCACTCTGCAGCGTAAAATCAACAGGGTAGCAGCAATGTTCATATGCGTAGTTGTACGTGTATGTTAGTATACAAGCACAAAAACCTCGCACACTGTACATCTCTGATGCCATTTTTCTGGTGTGTGCAAAAGGAAAGAAAACAAACAAAAAGCCAACTGGACAGTTTAGGGCTTGCTGTTCCAATCACTCACCAAACTATTGTGGGGAAATGAAAGAAAATTAATCTAAATAACACTTCTCCACAGTTGCTAGGGAAATTCTCTTCAGCAACCTGAAGCAGCGTGACATCAGCGTGGTACATGTAGGGAGGAAGGAAGTAGGCAAGATAGCCTGCTTGCTGAAAGAAGTGGACTTTTCTCTTCCCATCTAAGTGTCATCCTCCATCTCTGAAGTCATCAAAAGAAAGAATGCAGAAGAGACAGAAACTAAAAAGATAAATTGTTACAAGAAAATAAAAGACTTTTTGTTCCATAAAAGAGTTGGTGCACACCACTTCCACTTCTCCTCGTGTACCTCTGATGAAAGATCACAAACACCTACTAATTCCAGCACAGTTGAAGTTGTCACTCTCACAACTTTCCCGTTTCTGAATTCAGGATTACTTAGGACCCTAGATTCCTTGAATTGGTAGATCTCCATGCACGTTATTTGGCACTGGACTGTTCACTCCAGAAAGTTATTGAAGTAAGACTCCTGAAAACAAAAAGACAAAGTACCCTACTGTCAGGCATATGACTTGTCTGAAATGGAGCTAAATTAAGGTGACATATCAAGAAAAGTTTTTAATAGTGATATCTACAGGATCGTGAAATGCTACAACAAGGAGTGGGAGAACCACTTACAATGCTAAGGCACTTTCAAATAGGCTATATGGAACAATTTTGGTATGAAGAGCATGAAATAGAAGTATAATAGGTCCTTTTGATCTCCACTTTCTCCACAATCTAAATTAATTGAAAGTGTTCTATTAGAAAAACTGGTAAAAGGTACTGAATGTTTTTCTACATTTTGGTTAAGAGAAGGTCAATGCTATGAAACCAGTTAAGAGAAGCACTGAATCTAAACCCAAGCAATTAAGAAAGAAGTGATGTTAGACTGCAAGAAGAAAGAAAGAACAGACTTTCCTCCAAAAAAGCAAGCAGGGAGAGGACAAAACTTTATGTCACTGGAAACAATATTTGACAGTTTTCTCTCTAAAATAGTTTTATTTTTCAGTTGTATTGTTTCCCAAAGAGAAAACAAGCAAGTCAGTCATAGAAAGCTGACGAGATCATACTACCTCACATAAAATTAGAAGAAAAGGCCAAAACTATGGAACCAGGAAAAGCAATAGCCTAAGGCCCCTGGACAAGTTTCTTCCAAGGCAGCTTAGAGTCATACACAGATGTTAAACCTATTTTCCCTTTCATTTACTCTGCCTTCACTTTCCTTGCTCCAAACACACTCATCTCCATTCCTGCCCTTGCCACACCCGGACAAAAGAAGATGACTATCATGAGAAGGACCAAGAAATGACTTTTCATGAACCACCACATCTGGCAATCTGCAACGTCTGGGTTTTGTCACTATACCAGAATGCAAAATCCCAAAAGAACAAAAACCTGCCTCAGCTACTGGAGTTAGTCCAGTGGCAAGCTAAGGTACCAGTCATTGTTTTATTTATACTACAATGTCATTCAGGAAGTTTGTGTGGACCGAAGTTTTGCAATCTTAGGTCCTGTCTAAGCACAAAGGCATCCTCTCCTTGGGGCAGGAATGTGAGGTAAAATGAGAGTCTTGAGGATTTGGTAGCCAGTGAGGTGAACGAGAAGAGCAGGGAGGCAGCTACTAGAGCACACACCAAAGAAAAGGGCTGAGAAACAGGTCTCAAGTCGCTATTTCTGCCTAAACCAATAGTGACCCCGTCACTTACATGTCTGATAACTGTCCATGGGCTTAGCAGCACATTTAGTCATTTGACCTCCTTCTCTGGACACAAGAGTGGCTCACATGGGGGAGAATCTGATCATGAAAAATGCAGAGTGTGGAAGTGCAGGTCATGTGGCTGTGCGTGTATGTGTGTATGTGTGTGAGGGGGAGGTCATGTCATCTTTCCTGGTTTTTGCGAGGAAGCTTTCTCCGATGTTCCCTGCTTTTCTTTACTGACCTCTATACCACCAAAAGTAGTACTAAAAACAATATGAGGGCCAGTACTTTAAATTAATTAGCTTTAGTATGATGTGTTTCACCAGGTGAGTCAGGTAGTAAATCCAGTATCGATAGGCTTTACTTATTTCCTGGAAATACACGTGTGGGAGAATGGTTCTGGGCTGCACACCAGAACTGAGACTGCTGGAGTTAACGAGGGCTTCATTCTTCCTTTCTGCCTACCAACTACACCCATAAAAAGGGAGGCTGCATAAAAATATCCTTAGGGCACTGCACCATGGAGTGCTAGTGGTGAGGACAGAGCATTGATTTGCCCCTACAGTCACCAGGTCTGCACTTACAGTCGCACTGTTTATCTTTAAATGGAACCATGAACCCAGCTGCAGGACAAAGGGAAATGGCCCCAGAATGCAACAAGACAACCAGCTCCTCTGAAATCCTAACTGAAGTAGGAGTGATGCTTATATTCATCATGAAATCCTCTTTTTAGGAATATTTATTAAAAATGAGCCAAATTTCTCTCTTAGCTTATTTGTACCAATGGACTTTTGAATCTTACAACAGAAACAGATATGAATGGTTATGTTTCTGAAATACTAGTTGGTTCCATATGTGCTAACAATTTTCTTGGAAAGTGGATGATAAAAATCTTAAACACAGAAGAGGAAATTGTTACTAGTTCCTTGCTCAATTATTTTTACTTTCATCACCGCCTCAGATAATATTCATACATTGCCCACTGAAGAATTCCAGCTCTCTTTCTCAGAGATAAGCATACCCACAGCCAAGATGTTCTCATAAAAGATTAAAATTCCTTCCCATATCAACAACAAATTAGTCATTCATTTTCACACTGTTGCACTCTGGAATCAGAAAAATATAAATTATTAACTATTCTTATACTCCATTTACAAAAGCAACTATTTCAGTTAATTGCTAATTTGAGCATGGCTTAAAAACAAATGAGAAAATGTACTGTAAATGTTAGCACTCAAGTATATAAAGTGGATTCTACCATGAACAATATTAGCACTTAGCAGGGAGATTTTAGGGAATAATTCTTCATAGCAATAACTCTTAATCCAAAAAAAATTTGCTGAAGATTTCATTTTCCTTCATGGTAGTATAAAAATGGATCAAGGTATTTAGGATACTACTTCTGTGTTATGTATTACTTATAGTTAAGACTGTATTTTATTCCCTCCTGCAGAGGACAGTACTTTTATTGGTAGATACAGGAATATGGTTACTTGCACTTGTGACTATTTAAGAAACCTGTGTAGTAACCTAATGATAAAATCATGTGAAATCTTATCTATTGACAAGATGAATCATTACGACAAGAATATTTAACACTTTAACTTCATAACATTCCAGAAGGGGAATCCTTTAAACAGATCTGTCTGCATTACACCCTTTTACTAGCAATGAACCCAGATACATAAATAACTCAGTGCCATAAATAAATACATGCTAGTTCACCTCAGGTGAGGATTGACAAGCAGGCTTCAACAGGGCTCAACACAAGGACATGGAACCATGTGATTTGGTTCCTTTGTGGGACTAGATATGACAACGGTTTTGTAAGCAGTAAAATATCTTTTCACACAGGTAGGGTAGGTCCTAAAATTATAAGGAGTATTCAGGGGAACGCATTCCTTTTGGGGTTATCATGCAAGGTAGTGGACATACGTAAATAAAATATCAGTCAGCAATTTTCTAATGTGATAGAGGGCTGTACCTGCCTCTTAAAGCTCCAGTTCTACAAATTAAAAAATATATTCAACCATTTAAAGCCATTTCAGACAATGCTTTTCTTTTTTTCTTTCTTATTCATAAGTCAAGCTTCCATTGGCTTGCATTGGCAATCCATCAGAGTTCCACCAGGATTTTGTCCAGCTCTTCTGCAGATGAGAAGGCTCCAGCACACAGGCTGTGGCCAGGTAAATTCGTCAGAACAGACTGCAAGCACAGAACTGTATACTTTCTGCTCAGACTATAGTATAAACAAAGGGTGGTGAGAAGCCAGGACTGTCGAATTGGCAAAGATGTATACCTACCACCCCAAGCCTAGATTCCATGGGAACATACGGGAAGAAGGGAGTTGTACACTTATTCTGCTGCTGTAGACCAAGTGCAAGATAAAGTTAATATGCAAAGTGTGACCTCACCTGCCACAAACCAGGCTATGCAGACTCCTAGCAGGTCTCTCAGCTGCTCTCCTCCAGTGGATTTGTGTGTTGCTTGGTGCACTACAGAACAGGAGTTACTGCCACGAGCTGTAGTCTAACCGCAGGGGAAGCACTGAGACTCAGACTCCTCATTCTGGAAGTCCTCAGCTTGATCCTAAGCCTGACTGTCCACTCCTAGCAACAACCCTGAGGGCTACCACGCTTCCCTGCTCTACCACACTGCACCACTGTATCAAGGTCACATACGCAAGTCAATCCCGACAGCAGTTTTGAGGGAGAACAAAGCCTTCAACAGAAACAGCACTGCAATCACTTCCAGGACTGGGCACGGGCAGTTCCTGTACTAAGCACAGAGGGAGGCATTGGTTGACCTAAGCCTTTTACCCACCTCTCACCACACAGCTCTTCAGAATGGGCCTCTTTTTGCAATTCCTGCTCCAAAGATAAGCGGAACTGGGACTTGCATCCCACTGATGCATGTATCCACAGTTCATAAGCCAACGAAAGTTGAGAGCTATGGATCACATCTGTTGCTGTGAAGACACCCCCACAGAAAAACTATTGAAAGGATCTGTCTTTTTACTTGGAAATGGTAACAGAAGAGAATTTTTCTCCTTTTTCTATAATCACACTGACTTCCTCACCCAGCATAAGGTATCTCAAGGAGGTCTTCAGCTGAGACAGCCTGGGCAACACAGTGAACATCCTGCTGTCTTCATGGAGGGAAGGAGGACTCTTGAATACCGAGGCTTCAGAATGAATACTGGCAAGGGAAGTGAAATCTATTTCAGAGTACCTCCAAAAATTGTTTCCCTTCAGCTTTTTCTTGCCAAGGCTCACTAAGATTCCATGCAGTGCTGATATGATATGAAATATAGCACTGTGTAGGAAACAAGCTCACCAGGGTTACTGGAATTACTTAATTGCCATTTTAGCTGTTGCATTCCTGTATGGGACCCAGATCAGGCATGCGTCCAGCAAGTCCCTGCTCCCACTACACGTGGTGGAAGAAAATCACGTTTCTATTATGTAATTACAGTCCTTACAGAGAACTGTAATGCTTTATTAAAAATCCAGAATATATGATACTTTCCAACTCAAAATAAGGTAGGACTCTCCATGCACAGTGAGGAAAATTTGTAGACTATAAGCTTCTCAACTTTTCTTTCGAATAAGGTGGTTTTTTTTCAGTTCACTACATCACTGAAACACTATTCTAAGCATTTTCTGCATTACTTTGTAGACCATTAGCAACCACATGAAAAAAGAGAAAGAGAAAGAGGCAAAGAAAAAGAAAAAGACACATAAGGGAAACTTTCAGCAATCTAGAAGTGAGATACCAGGCTGTGAATTCAACAGGTCTTATCTTCCCCCAGCTCTCCTGAGTGTAGCACCACAGGGTAGCTTGCACAACACAACACAACACAACACAACACAACACAACACAACACAACACATGCTGTTCACCCAGGCCTCCCTCTGCCTCTCTCTATTGAAAGGAGAAACAATGTGAGGACAACTGCTTACAACTTTTTTCACAGGTGAATACACCACACATGCCCCTATAACTCAGTTTCCATGTGGCTTATAATATAAGCTCTCCAGTTTATTCTATTTTGCTGTTACTAGAAGCAACTGAGAGCCAGTTGAAACCAGACTAAGGTACAGAACTTGGGCAAGGCACATAATAGGCTTGCACAACTTGGAGTTTCTCTGGGTGACACTTCAGTCATTAATATCTAAATTATGTTTATTACTAAATATCTAAAAGTTTCTGTGCTGAGTGCTGTACAAGCACTGAGAGAAAGTGGATAAAGAACTGGCTAGATGGCCACACTCAAAGGGCTGCAATCAGTGGCTCAACGTCCAAGTGGAAAGCAGTGATGCATAGGAGTCAGTACTGGGACCAGTGCTGTTCAACGGTTTTGCTGGAGACATGGACAGCGGGATTGAGTGCAGCCTCAGCAAGTTTGCTGACAACACCAAGCTGTGTGGTGCAGTCAGCAAGCTGGACGGAAGGGATGCCATCCAGAGGGACCCAGACAGTTTTGAGAGGTGGGCCTGTGCGAACCTCATGAAGTTCAACAAGGCCACATGCAAGGTTCTGCACCTGGGCCACAGCAATCCCAAGCACAAACACAGGTTGGGCAGGGAATGCATTGAGAACAGCCGTGAGGAGAAGGACTTGGGGGTGCTGGTGGATGAGAAGCTCAACATGAGCTGGCAATGTGCACTGGCAGCCCAGAAAGCCAACCACATCCTGGGCTGCACCAAAAGAAGCATAGCCAGCAGGTTGAGGGAAGTGACTCTGCACCTCTACTCTGCTCTGGTGACACCCCACCTGGAGTGCTGTGGGCAGCTCTGGAGTCTTCAGCACAGGAATGACATAGACCTGTTGGAATGGGTCCAGAGGACAGCCATGAAGATGATGAGAGGGCTGGAACATCTCTCCTATGAAGACAGGCTGAGAGAGTCAGGATTGTTCAGCCTGGAGAAGAGAAGGCTCCGGGGAAACCTTACAGCGGCCTTCCAGTACCTAGAGGGAGCCTATAGGAGAGATGGGGAGGGACTCGCAATACAGGAGTGGAGTGACAGGATGAGGCCTAATGGTTTTAAATTGAAAGAGGGGAGATTTAGATTAGATGTAGGAAGAAATTCTCTATTGTGAGGGTGATGAGGCACTGGAACAGGTTGCCCAGAGAAATTGTGGATGCCCCATCCCTGGAGTTGTTCAAGACCAGGCTGGATGGGGCTTTGAGAGACCTGGTCTAGTGGGAGGTGTCCCTGTCCATGGCAGAGGGGGTTGAACTTGATGATCTTTAAGGTCCCTTCCAAACCAAACCATTCGATGATTCTAAGGCCAACCTTGCAGGTATACTGGTCCTCTCTGGGCCATTTTCTGCCTCCTGGCCTTGCAGGAAAAATGGATCATAGTCCTCAGGTGCAGCGGGGCAACATGAGATCGGGGAATTTGCTTCCCACAGTCCAGCCCCTTGGCAGTCTTGAATTCAGTCACATACTAGAACAGGCACTGTTTCAGAAAATGTTCAAGAAAATGTTTGCTGTACTAGCAATTGCGTCCCGCATTTAACTATGATGTTTCTCACAATGCACCTCACCATATCACTCTGTTCCCAGAGTCTAACAAAATACGCATATATATATACACAATATACTTTTTAGATTTTTTCCTATGCTCAAGCCATCTGCATCTTCTTCTTCAAGACCTTCTCTCCAGAAGGGCTCATCAAAGACAAACCATTTTTTTTGTGTGTCACATTCAGAGAAAATGTGTGCTACTGTGTCAATCCATTTCTGTACTGAGTTCAGCTATTACATTTTCAAGGCTGTCACAAGATCCCTCTGAGATCTGACTTACGATATGACAAAAGTAATAAATAGGTTCCTCTAGTTCCCCAAATTCCTTTGCTTTAAAAGTGATGCTTCAGGAAACAGGCCAGAGGGCAACTCAGTCTGCTAAGAAGCTGGTGACCTTACCATGAGCCACAATTGCATCACATCAAGAGATCTCTTTTCAGTAGCAAGTTGCATAAATAAATTGCTCTTCATAACATAGCTTCTGCTTCAGGCAGCCGGCACAGTCGAAGAAGGGCAGTGAGAGACCAAACTCTGCTCCAGACAACATCATGGTATCTTTGCAAAAGCCATTGATTTTTGTATGTCATCCAGCCTATGTCCAATTAAAAAAAAAAGAAAAAAGAAAAAAGAAAGAAACAAATGAAAAAAACACAAAACAAAACAGAAACAACCCCCTGCACCAGTAAGAAATATTGCTGGAGTCTATGTGGCTCTGTTCTAGGTCCCTTTCCCCCTCTTGTAAAGGCTATCGGTAGGTCCAAAATGCATTTTGCTTCCAAAGTCATACAGAAGTGAAACACTTGTTCTTATATGAAACGTGCAGCAATGTACAAATTGGTGGGTAATGGGCAGACACTACCATCCTTATCTTTGAATTTCCATTCTTTTCCTTAGACCCCAAAAGATTACTTTAAAACTGTGGTTTTCTCCCCCCCACCTCCCCTTTTCTTTGTGGTTTAACAGATAAAGTCAGAATGGGAGGAGGTTTCACCGCTTTTGCTGCATGTGAAAACATTAAATTATTCTGTTACTCTGAGGCTCACTGATAGCATGAAGATGACAACTGAACACCAAGGATAGCATTTTCTCGTTCTGCTGGTAACAGAGGGCTTCTTTGGTTGGGTTTTTCAGTTTAGCAAATTCCTGATGCAATTGTCTTGATATGAGCTCTTCAAGGTTTTACCTCCATTTTTCCCCAAAATAACCTTCCTCTTCTCCCTATTTTTTATTTTTGCAAAGAAAGTAATTTCTAAACTACTATTCATTTTATACTGAAATATACTATCTTACATGCGTTTGTCAAATCCTACTTTTTATCTAATTAAGTGTCCTAGTAGCACATACCAAATAAATATTCTTATAGAAATGTCACATGTAACATACTGACTCCTTTCCAAATGAAAATAAAAGCAATTCAAATTTCATAGAATCATAAACTCACAGAATAATTTAGGTTGGAGAGGACTTCTGAAGGCCATCTAGTCCAGCCTCTCCAGTTTGCTCCAAGCAGGGCTAACTTCAAAGTTAGATTATGAAGATGATCAGAGGGCTGGAGCACCTTTCCTGTGAAGACAGGCTGAGAGAGTTGGGTCTTCTGGAGAAGAGAAGGCTCCGGTAGACCTTATAGCAGCCTTCCAGAACCTAAAGGGGGCCTACAGTGGAGATGGGGAAGGACTTTCTGTCAGGGAGTGGAGCGATACGACAAGGAGTAATGGTTTTAAATTGAAAGAGGGGAGATTTAGATTAGATATGAGAAAGAAATCATTTCCTGTGAGAGTAGTGAGACACTGGCCCAGGTAGTCCAGAGAAGTTGTGGATGACCCATCCCTGGAGGTGTTCAAGACCAGGCTGGATGGGGCTTTGAGTAACCTGGTCTATGTGGGAGGTGTCCCTGCCCATGACAGGGGGGTTGGAACTTGATGATCTTTAAGGTTCCTTCCAACCCAAAGCATTCTATTAACTCTCTGTAAACAAAAAAGTGTTCCAAATACTAACCACTCATATAATTGCTTGTTTTACATTAACATTCATTTAATAGTTTTGCAACATTTCAGTACTAAGACATAATTTTTTGCAGTACAGCAACTATGTTGTTGCCACAAAACACCACAAATACCCCACTCAGATGACAGGTACAGTTAATGATCAATTAATTACATGTGCATATTTGTTGGTATACATGTGCACTGAGGAGACCCAAGATAAATCACACCATCCTATAGCTTCAAGGTGGAACTGGCACTGTTAGTCCCACTTCCTGTTCCTACCAAGGAAGAGGAGTAGGTTGGAATAACAAAGGTCATTTGCTGCCATGCATTTCCCTTTAAAAAAGTGAGAGGCAAATGTTCCCCGCCTTCTCAGATGACTGAGATTTAAGGAAGCCTGACTTCCAAAGGTGTGGCACACAGCACTTATATCATCATTTTGAGTTAGCTAGAATGACAGCTGTCATGTCATGTGAAGCCTGCTGCGCTGTTGGTTAGCAACAGAGTATCACGATACAGCTAATTAATCATGTTGCAAATTTGTCTCAAAGTTGAAAAAAATGATAGCTCTGGCCCATCAGATTAAACAGAAAATATTCGTTCATTCATTGCTGCAACAAAAAAGAACTACTCTCCTAGTCCAGGCAGCAAAAGAAAACTGAATACACTTTTCTTTTGACCCTGAACTCCTACTAGCTTCACGGGATCAGCCCTAATTTTATATTTGCTTCCTAGTACTGTAATTGTTAGAAATGTCACTCAAGATGTATTTTATGTAGGAGCAACTGCACATGTTCCTGACTGGCAGAATTTAGATTATTCATGCCCATATTGCAGTGAATTTTGCAGGCTCTACAAAAATACGTCTAAATTGGCAAGCTTTCCAAGGCTTGGTCTTGCATCTGATGCACTTTGCAAGGAAAGGGAAGGTGCATCTATCAAGTACCCATAACGAGACTTTGACTCCTCTAAGTAATTGATTTAAGGGTGCAGGATATCTCAGACAACTGGTAATAAGTTGTGACCTCTTTCATCTCAATGTTATTGGAAGAAACTAGCTAACTCTTACCCTATACAAACTGATACGAAATGACTAGATGATCTCAACCTATATTAAACTGCATTTGCTTCTCAGACTCAGCTCACTACTGCAGGCTGCAAATTTCCCTGCGATCAGATGTCAATCCCAAAACATACAAACGGCATCTTTGGGAAAACAATCTCAGTGGAAAACACATCTACAGATGGTGGTGGAAATTTAGATGTACTATTACTCACAAAGTCTAATTACTCCTGGTAGTCTTATTCAGATGGCGTTGATAGACATTGGGTGCACAAACGATACAGTGCAGGTGAAAACTTCCAAGATTTCTGCTCATGCCGAACCACTTGTCTACACAGAAGACATGAGTCTTGCATGGCTGTCAAGCCTAGACTTTTCTTTCACTTAGTGTACAAGCACTGAAAGAGCAGAGGAGGAATTACTCATAGATTTCAGAAAAAGCAGAATGTATGTTTATGTAATTTTATATGGTTGAAAGATAAACACAGATGTTGCATTTGCAGATATGATATTTATAACATTATTTTATCAATTATGTTGTGCTTCAGACATGGAAAAACATTGTCTATTTATTTATCTTAATAGTCTGTAGATCAAAAAAACTTATAGATTTTAAAAGGTTTCTTGACAAAATGTCAATTTTCATATGTTTAGGCAGTAAAAATTACAAGACTAGAGAAAAAGGTTACATAAAAAGTCAACTTTCCGATGACTAAAAATAGTTTGGGGTTTTTTAAGTAAAGTATTTTGAAGACTTTTCATGGACACAAAGTATTTTCTGGCTGTGATCTGTGCACAGAAATCTTGTTTTCCATTATTTTTGTGATTTAGAAATGTGCTCCAAAGCAAACTGGAGAAACTCCTTGCTAACAGATCATACTGCAGAGGTAAGGCCCTCTGCTTTTACAACTACAGTCATCTGGTTTTCTGCTAGCAGGGGAGCGATTTTTGGGACACTTTGTTTCTGGTGGGAAAATTTAACTAAGAGAAGGTATGATTTCTCATGGTTTGTATCTTCTTTTGATAATTCATATATACATGCACTTACTGAATCATAAAAGGTCTCCAGTGGCCATCTACTTCATCTCTCTGGCTGAGGCAGAACAACCAGTATCTCTGCCAGGCAGCTGTTTGACTAGCCTTCCTAAGTCGCCTTGTATCTTGAAGAATGGAAAAAAGGCTTAGATGTCCACCATAGCATGAAAATAATCATATGCTGGAAATGTCTATAAAGGGAGATTTGTCTGATTAGCTGAGACACTGACATTTATTGCTGTGTCAGGTTTTTGGCTGGACAGAAGCCATTCTATCCTTCCCACAGAACTGAAACAAATTCAAATCAAATCACGCTGTGATGCCCAGCATGACTGGCATGCTGCTAATCAGCTTCCTTCCAGTTTTAACATGAAGCTTGTCAGGCTTACTTCTCTGATTCTTAATATGATAGCAAGGTTTGCTTCTTTCTTTCTTGGATTTCTCTGTCTTATTTTTAGCTCATTCTCCTTTCGCTTCTTTTCTATGCTAAAATGCTGGTAAGCAGTGAAGGAACGTGATTCTTATGCTACTGTTTTGTCTTCTGAAATCACATTTTGGGGCAGCAGTATCTTCTTTGTCCCAGCTATGACAGGAAAACATCACCATTCACAGTCTTTGATGCTTGCCCTTCTTGTGATCCATCTTATTTATTTTGTATTTAACTCATGTCTATAATAACTACGGACAGTCTTTCCTGTTGTTTTCCTGACTCCTCTCTGTGGTCACTCCTTTGGGAATTTTACATGAGTAATTTAGCAGTGTGTGCTAGTAGAACAGCACAGTTACATTGTATGAATTCATTTTCATCTTTGGGAGTAAGAAAGAATTTAAGTGTTGATTCTCTTTCAACTTCAACCTTCAACTCAGATGGCTGAAACCCCACTGCTGCAGGATGATATGATAATATGTCACAAATCACAGGACTCTTCTGAACTTAGTAAATGACATATGCCATTAGCATTCATCACATCTAAGGTATATTTCAATAAAACTTGCCTGCACAATCTCCTCAACCTTTGTCCATGCTATCCCAGGAGATCAGATTCAGCACTGATAAAATTTACTAATCTATGTACCTTGCTGTACAAATGGATTTGCCTTGATATCTTAGAAGAAACAGAAGGAAATCTCACTGCTTAAAATGTTCCAGTAAAGAAGAAAAATGGAGTTTGTCAGTTGCAGTGGAAGAGATCTGATGCTCTGGAAACTCTGCTTTCCCCACAGGTCCTGTGATGATTGAATTTTTTCCTCTCAGTTTCCATACTTTAAAATTTCCTTTCTAAAATCAAGCTGAACTTTTTTTCTGCCAGAGGAAAGGGAACTTCCAGGTAGATTCCCTCCAGTGCTGCATGACCTTTACCACAGAAAGCTTACCCAGGGGTAAGATGCAAAGGCTCAAATCACCTGGTGCAAAGGCTCAAATCACCTTTGTTCAGCTACTAGTACTGAACAAAAGACCTGCTCACTTTTTCACTGCATTCCCCTCAGCAGCCTCTGGCAGAAGTGCTCAAGAGATCTCCTGACAGATGGAGACTATAGTTGTCTTCCTTAGCAAGAACAAGTGCGTACGGCTTGTACCTTGATTATGCTGCCCTTTACCCATATTTCACCCTTCTGTCTTTTCTTCTTTCCATTGACTGTTGCCTTGACAATCTCTCTGTTTAGATCTTGCCTCAATGAATTAACCTTTCAACTGGTCAAGAGTATCCTCAACAATTCTAGACCTAATCAAACACATCTACATGCATTATGCCCACGGTAAACTTTACATGCAAAAGCTTTATGCAGTCCTTAAGATGTCCTGAAAAGACTGAAGAAGGAACCCAGATTTTCAACTTCTGCATCGTCCTCCTTATCAAGCTCTACACAAGAGTACTGCTTTGCAGTGTTCCTAGAGCAAACCTTATCACATAGCCTTCACCTACCAAGATGAAGGCACCTGGGAAAACATAATCAAGGAGTTCAGCACAAACTAGGATCCAACCTGTTGTGGATCAGCTCTGTGGAAAGCGACCTGGGAGTCCTGGTGGACAACAAGCTCAGGAAAGAAAGCCAGCTGTATGTGAGGTTGCATCAACAAGGGCATCACCAGCACAGATAAAGAAGCCATTATCTCAGTCTACTCAGTGCTTGTCAGGCCACACCTGGAATACTGTGTTCAGTTACCAGGAATCACAGGAAATAATTCCTGGAGACACGGGGATAAAGCTGGGAAAAAGGGATGTGAGGAAGCTGGAGTGATCTTTAAGACGGAAGTCACAACAGGCCTGACAGCAGTCAGCAAGGGGTGCAACAAAACAACCTGTTGCTATTGCCTACTTTCCCTCTTTTGGGTGCCTTTCTCTCCTTGATTGACACAGAAATCAGCAAGTCAGGTGCTTGAAGTGAATGCAAAAGTCAAGTTCAGGCAGGAAAACTGGTAAAGAAAGCAGAGACTGAGATGGTCAGCAACTACAGAGCAGAGGCAGGAAGGAGGTCTTGGA